ATAAAAATTTGAAATGATACTTTTTGTGTAAATGTCTGGTCACTTGGGATCAATTTAAAGCATTCTTGCTGAAGTATGTATGAATCAATTGTTTGATGTTTTGATTTGCTCTTTTATTAATTGAACTTTGAGACACAAAAATTAAAAATGTATTGGTAAATGGTTGTTAGTTCAGTCCTACAAGTTTTTTTTTTTTTTTGTCACTTTCTGACAGATGACTTGGAGAAACGGAAGCGCCTTAGACAGAAGAAAGCAAGGGATGAAAAGAGAAGGGAGAAGCGGATCGAAATTGAGGAAAACAGGAAACACGGGAAATGTGAGAATTTAATTCCTGTTTTTCTGGGAATGTATGGCATACATTTTCATGAAAATAGACAAAATGTCTGTTTGTAGAACATTTAGCTTAATTCAGGGTGGTGTTATTGATTTGCCAGGGTGTGATTATTGAATTTATCTTTGTGTCTTCAGATCCAGAGGTGCACATTGGGCTGGAGAACCTCCAGCATTTTCCTGCTTTTGGATCTCCACCTCAGAGCGACTCACAGGTGCAGCTCCCAGAGTTCCTGCTGGGACCTCCGTCTCCTCTGAGCGGCAGCCCTTCATCAGGTAGCACTCACCCTCTCTTGCCCTGGCCTCCAGTGGTTAGTCTCCTGTGCTTATTGCCTGTTTTTATTTCAGATGGAGTGATGTTTCCTAATCTGAGTGAGCACAGTCCATCTCCGAGCGTAGCCAGTGTGGAAGAGGACTTTCACTGCATGTCCTTCGCTCAGGTTTACTCAGACTGCCTAAAGCACTTTGTTTCATGGTTATAACAAAAAAATTGTCAACTTTGTAGCTTTCATGTGGTGGGAAAATCATTACTGAAATTAAATTGAAACTAATTTTAAATGGAGTAATAAAAACAACGGCATCTTGAGAGTTGTTAGTATCTAAATGTACTATGTTTATGTGTGCAGATGCTGAAAGATGGGAAAGCCCGTGTGGATGCCGGGCCTAAAACCACCCCAAAGAAAGGTGAGCATCCTGTCATCTAGGGATGCGCCGATATTTATTGGCCAATTTTTGATTATTTTAAAGCCATCAGCATATCGAAAAGGGCCGATACGAGACGAATTGCATGTCTGTTGCATAATCCAACGTTTTTCTCTGGGCAAAATAATTAAATATTTGCCAAAACAAAATAAAATCTGTCCAAAATATAGTTTGTCAGACGGCATAGTACGGCCATATGCAAACATAAAAATTTACACTCCTCAATTTAAATGGTCCGTAGTACAGTCTGTGCCGTTTAGTGTGACCAACGCCTCACTGCTGATATAGCCTATATGTGAAGGATGATGTTTTACGTCGATAATGCGAGTGAAGAACAAAGCCTATAGTTTAAATAATAAGTAATAGGTTAGCATCCAGATACTGCGCGAATATGGAAACATTTGGATTTGTGCAGAATGAGAGAGGTAATTATTAATTAATTTGTTTTGGCTTGATTATTATATTTAGCCTAAATACAACTTTAGAGGATTTGTTGTGGAGAGAAGGGAACTAAAATAGCCTAATTGGAACAGAGGAACGCAGGAACAGAAACGTTCATATACCGATTCTGCTCGCAGTGAACCAATCCTTTTTTTCCCCTCCCTCTCGTTTTTAAGCCCTGCTTTATGCAATTGACCAATATCGTATCGGAATCGGCCAATAGTTGTTTGTTAAAATCGGTATCGGCCAAAAAAAAAAAAAATCCTATCAGTGCATCCCTACTCTCTTCACTTGACTTAACTGTTGGCGCACTGGCTATGCTGATTCCTAATAGTGTCATTTATTAGTGATTTGTATTTTTTTTTCCTCCACAGCTGACATGTTCCTGGCCCCACCTCAGGCAGACAGTGATGGAGAGAGTGACGGCTCTGATCGGGTCCCAGTACCCAGTTTCCAAAACTCCTTCAGTCAGGCTTTTGAGCAGGCTTTGTCACAGCTGGACCATGGAAGTCAAACTCCAGCACAGGCTTTACCCATCCCTGGTGAGAAAAAGATTCATATTAAAGAAAAACTCCACTATTTTTGATGGCTATGCTGATTCCTAATAGTGTCATTTATTAGTGATTTGTATTTTTTTCCTCCACAGCTGACATGTTCCTGGCCCTACCTCAGGCAGACAGTGATGTAGAGAGTGACGGCTCTGATCGGGTCCCAGTACCCAGTTTCCAAAACTCCTTCAGTCAGGCCTTTGAGCAGGCTTTGTCACAGCTGGACCATGGAAGTCAAACTCCAGCACAGGCTTTACCCATCCCTGGTGAGAAAAAGATTCATATTAAAGAAAAACTCCACTATTTTTGAAAATGGGCTCATTTTCCAACTCCCCTAGAGTTAAACAGTTGAGTTTTACTGTTTTTGAATCCATTCAGCCGATCTCCGGGTCTGGCGGTAGCACTTTTAGCTGTAGCCTAGCGTAGATTGAATCAGATTAGACCATCTCGCTCAAAAATGACCAAAGAGTTTCAATATTTTTCCTATTTAAAACTTGACTCTTCTGTAGTTACATCATGTACTAAGACTGACGGAAAATGAAAAGTTGCGATTTTCTAGGCCGATATGGCTAGGAACTATACTCTCATACTCTTTGCTGCCATACCATGGGTGCAGCAGGCGCAAAGATATTACACAGCTCCTGAAAATAGGCCCCAGCTAGGTAACTTCCAATAAGCCTATTTTCAGGCGCTGCGTAATATCATTGCGCCTGCTGTAGGAAATAGGAAAAATATTGAAACTCTTTGGTCATTTTTGAGAGAGATGGTCTAATCAGATTTAACCAAACACTTTTTACAGCTGAGAGTGGGCATTTCACTGGTCAGATGCGTCAGCGTCATGTTTGCATAGGCCGTACTATGCCGTCTGACAAACTATATTTTGGACAGATTTTATTTTGTTTTGGCAAATATTTAATTATTTTGCCCAGAGAAAAACGTTGGATTATGCAACAGACATGCAACTCGTCTTAATGGTCCCCATTGTCTTCCATAGTTTTTTTTGTTTTCCTATGTGGTGGGGTTCATCAGCTCTTTTTTAAAAAAAATTTTTATTTTATTATATCAAATTAACACTCTGAAACGGAGCATAAATCACTTTTGTTGTTTGCCATAATGTTTGTTACCCATGTGACCTTTCTTCTCTCAATTTTATAGATGAGAAAGGGGGGAAGAAGAAGAAGAAAAAGCAGAAGCTTCTGTTCAGCACCTCTATGGTTCACACCAAGTAAATGCTGAAGCCCACCCTTCACTCCTGTTTCTACCTTCTGCCTTATTCCTCCCATATGCTTAGGTTTCATTAGGTCCCTCAACAGCAGTTTCCCCTTCTTTTTTCTTGCCCCTGTTGAATGAGACCCTCTCCAGACGTTCAGTGACAGTGGCTCAGTGATTGTACAAACCATAGACTCAGTATTATAGATCAGACCCACAGTTGTCCACTGTTTCTTACAGAAGGGACATGTGCTGAAATTAAAGAGCTCTACATCAGGTACATTTGACACGGCGCTGTAGTTTAGAGCTGATGCTCCATTATTATCCAAAATGTGGGTGGAAAAAAATGACATGGTTTTTGGTTATGGGTTGCAGTTATATATTTTGGGGGGTCCTGAGATAGCAGTCAGCCAGCTGCAGAAATGTCCCTCCATCATATCTAACACATTTGTACTTCAACCATGGTGTTTAAAAATAAATCAAATCAAATTTAGCATTGCTAACAGCAGAAAAAAATGTGTAGAACTTGTGGTGAGGATTATATGCATTTGAGTTCTTCTTCCTGTCAGGCACATACACAGAACTATGCTGATTGTAACACGTTCTTGCTTGTTAATAAGCAGGAAGAAAAATGTGTGGTGGCATTTAAACAAACAAGTTCTGAGCTCTAGTCATGGACTTCAGTCTCTTACCAGCTGTTATCATCTGTCCAGCCTAAGAACTGCCTTTCACAATCAGACCCATTAATAATACGTAAAAAGACATCATTGTTCTGCTGGAAGAATTCAGTGGGTCTTTTAAGCCCTTGACTTTGTTAGAACCTCCAACTCTTAGACAGAATTCAGAGCTGCTCATGTTCAATAGTGTTCAGATGTTAGAGGCATCAGAGACAAGCCGACTCCACTGCTTGCTACGTTTTCAGTGAAGAAAATATGTAAAGACCGAGAAAGGCTATATAAAATGTAGAGGGTTTAATTTTTCTCTTTATTTTCTTTTTTCTGATGAGACCTGTGATACAGAACCTGCATATAGACTAAGTTGAATGAATAAAGGATTATTATGCACTGGCATTCTGTTTGTCTTATTTAGAACCGATTTCATTTAACACGTTTAAAGACCATTCACATTTTTGTGAACGTTTACATAGAAATATATTGTTTTCGGCCTTTTTGATTGTAATCTCATAGATGGCTTTGCAATAAAATGTCAAGTACAGGTTTATATTGATTTGGGTGTTGTCATAGTTTGTATGATCCTTGTGTTTGGAATTGTTTTGTGGTTTGAGAAATCTTTTCTAGTAAAATAATTTATAGTTGCTTAATGCTGATTTTGCACGCTCTGACGTGTACAACACTTAAAAAAAAAAAAAAAGATATTGTAGGTTTTCCATGGCTCATCAGCCTAAATAATTGTAAAATAATTATTTGCCCATTTAACAGAAATTGCATTTAAAGACATATAATGGTCATTCTCATTCATTTCAGTGGCTCACTGTTAAAAATTCTCATCCCTGTGACTTAAGACTTATGTTCTCAAAAAAAACAGTCCAAGAGAATTTGCTAATTTAAAATATCACTATTCATCCTGATTTTTTTTGTACTCTTCAGTTCATCCTCCGTTTAAGTGCTATGCAAAACTTAACTCAAACAGTAAAAATGTAATAAACTTTTTTTAAACGGACAACTGTACAGACATTTACAACCGATTCATGTTTTAAAATTAGTAAATCAATACATTTTATTGAAATGTATTGCATTTTATAACTTAACTAATTTTAGATGATCAAATAAAGCATTTTAGCTGCACATTTTGAATTTAATCAACTTTTTTGTTTTTCTTTGTTCTTTTGTCAGTGACAAATTACTATGGCATTTCATAAACATTCACACACATTCTATTCAGTATTCACGGAGACATTTATTCTTAAGGTCAACGATCAACTGGCCTTCCAGTTGATAAAGAAAACATCATGCTCCTTTTGTTTGTCAAAATGCTTTTATTGATTTTATTACACATTTCTACAAAATGGGCAGTTATACAATATGCTGTATTCTCACAGTATTACCAAAGTCACAGATGCAATTCAATATCAATCACTGGCTCAACTTCCCCACCTCCTCTTTCATGTCAGATCAACTGAGAAACTGTAAGGCTACTTTGGTTTGGTTAATTCACTTTAAGCTCATTAAATGCTTCTTAGAAACGGGAAACTGCACAGTACTAAAGAAAAATTGGATAAGATGGTTTTGCGTTGTGAATAAGTGGTGCGTAGAGGTTTTTAAGGACGTGAAGAGATGCATTTATGTAAATATGGAGCAGCAACAAAAGGATAAAATGGACAGTTCATCATAAAAGGAGCAAAGGTTATGATTTGCCCCAGTTTTAAATGAACACACAACGTGTCAGGCGGAGCAGATATGAAAGCCATTAATAGATATATGGCACTAGACGGAAATAATTGAAATAATGAAGGATCAGAAAAATCATTGGACGTATTTAAAGCTCCAGGTACTTTGTCGCCATGGCAAGAATTGGGGCGCCTGTTGGGACACCAGGGAAAGGGCCGCTGGATCCAGCAATGTCGATGTGGGAGTAAGGCAGAGGTTTATCCGAGTCCAGTCCATGCTGTGGGACAAACATGCAGATGGTAAATGTATGTATTTTTGCAAAAAAATACGTTTTTAATAAATCCTAACCTAATAATACACCCAGTTTGTATATGTCTACCTTATCCAGTCCAGAAGCCATGATGAGGAAGGCGGCGGGCGTCTGGTGTCCACGTGGTGTGGCGGATGAGGGCAGGTTATTGGACTGCAGGATCTCCTCATACTCAGACTTCCCTTTGTGGAACTCGTAATCCTCCCGACGAATGGTGGACACCTCGAACAGATCTCCCAGCACCTCTCCCGCTGCCATACAAACCGATTTCACACAAATAAAGCTACATTTATGGAAGCAAAAACAAAGGCTTCTTAGCTCTTCTTACCTTTCTGCCACTGCAGAGCGTTTCCTGAGCGGTGAGCAGCACCGTTATCCATTATGATCTACAGGGACAGATAATAATTATATGTTTGATTTATATAGCGCCTTTCCCAAGCTCAAGGACACCTCACAATGACAATAGCAAATAAACAATCATATCGTACATAATCACTTAGGTGGACAATTGCCCAAGTCCAAGACATGCGCAATTGCAGTTGCGTATCGTAATAGTAGTGGAAACAATCACATACTAACAGAGAACCATAACAGTTTAAGAAGAAACACATTATGACCGGTAGTATTGGTTGTACAGATACTTGAGTTTAGACTTAAATTCATGCAGTGTGGTTATTGTCTTAAGAGACAGGGGCAATGAGTTCCAAAGTTTAGGAGCAGTAACAGCAAGATCTGCCTTCCACAGATGATAGGCGAAGTCTCGGTATACAAAGAAGGTCACCTCCAGATGATCGAAGTGGTCGAGAGGGAATATAAGGAGAAAGTAAGTCAGAGAGATAAGTAGGAGCAAGACCATAGAGTCACTTAAAGATAAGCAGAAGAATTTTGTAAATAATATGAGGACACGGGTAGCCAGTGGAGGTTAAATAGAATAGGAGTGATATGAGCAGACCGTTTAGTGCAAGTTAACATTCTCGCAGCAGAATTTTGAATGTATTGCAAATGGGAGATGGAGTGCACTGGTAGTCCAGAAATAGACAGAAAAAAAAAAGAGCGTTGCAGTAATCGAGGCGAGATGTGATAAATGCATGTACTACTGATTCAGCATCTTTTGGGCTGACAAAGGAATGGAGTTTGGCAATACGGTAAAGTTGGGAAAAAATGCAGCTTTAGAGAGTTTACCAATATAAGCACCTAGGTTTATTGAAGAGTCGAGAATGATACCTACGTTTTTGACAGTGGCAGACAGAGTAATTGATGTAGCTTCAAAGTCTGGGGGCATTAGTTAATAGGCCTTTTACTCGTTGATGTATGACGATAGAGATGCACAGGGATTAAAGTTCTTCGTCTCTACGGCAGATTTCCGTTAATTGCAGCGTGTCTACGATGGATTTCCGTCAATTGGAAAAAAAGAGGGAAAAGAAACATTTAGCGCATTGTTGTTGTTCTGCCCTGTGGCACACCAAAAATCATCAGAAAATAGTTCCAAATATAGTAACAGCTCGGCCGCTGCACATCTCTAAAAGCAAACACAGCGGTGTTTCATTCATTCAATGAAAGTGCGTTTTTGAACGAATCTAGTGAGTCAGTGATTCATGATTACCCATTCATAAAGACAGTCACTTGCTTCATTCCTGAATGAATCAGCCGTTCGAACGAATCAATTGAATGAATGATTCAGTGATAAAATTTGTGACTTGCCTCCACCTGCTGGCGGATTTAGTTTAATTTTTAGCTATAATTTCAGTTATTTAAATCATAATATTTCTGTATTCAAAATTTTATATTTAAAACATTAATCTCCACATTAATGTATTAATTTAATTGCACTCATGCCACCTCGGAGCCTTATTAAACGTCTGAAAATGTACCTACAAGCCATTTTTGTGTTCTTCTGTTCCACCTCTGTACAAATTATTTTTTTATTAATACTTATTTCATATGATTGGTAACTTATTCGTCTTATTCTAATTCTTCTTATATTGTTTTAAATAGAAATGTTAAAAAGCTTATAAAACATACATTTTTGAATTTGATATGAAAACGATAACATTATAAAAGGTAAAAAGAAAATACCCCTGTAAGTCACTTTAAGGAGTGAAATGTCACCTCATATTAGGAAGGATAATTTTATATCAGAATTTTTGATTATTGATCAGAAGGTGCTCCTAAATTTTTTAAATTAGGAGGAAAAGAGCTCCTAAAAATAAAAGCATAGCGCCATGTGTAACAGTATATTAGAGCCGTGCATGAGGTCTTAAAGAGACAGCAGCCTAAATAACCCTGCTGCCTTTCATTATATAGTGAAGACTAACCAGTGTTATTTTACAGTTGAATAGATTATAGTTAGACCTAACTGAAAAAAAATTTAAGTACTGTTAATTTAATTTGTATCTTGTTATTGTTTATGTTTGTGCCATTAATTGTCATTAATTTATTTGTTCTTATTTTATTATTTACTATTTACTTGTCTTTAGTTAAAATAAACTCAATTCTGAGTGCACATGATTCTTGGGTGGGGAGGGGAGGGGGCGTGGTCCATGAGAAATAGTCCTGCCACCACAGCTGAAAAAAATCCTAGGTAACACTGCATACATTTAATAAAATTAGAAAAATGCCATTACAAAGGTAAAAAGAAAATGCCCCTGTTAATCTGTCAAATGTCACCTCATATAAGGAAGGCTAATTTTTGATCAGAATTTAAAATCATCCGAAAATAGTTCCAAATATAGTAACAGCTCGGCCGCTGCACATCTCTAAAAGCAAACACAGCGGTGTTTCATTCATTCAATGAAAGTGCGTTTTTGAACGAATCTAGTGAGTCAGTGATTCATGATTACCCATTCATAAAGACAGTCACTTGCTTCATTCCTGAATGAATCAGCCGTTCGAACGAATCAATTGAATGAATGATTCAGTGATAAAATTTGTGACTTGCCTCCACCTGCTGGCGGATTTAGTTTAATTTTTAGCTATAATTTCAGTTATTTAAATCATAATATTTCTGTATTCAAAATTTTATATTTAAAACATTAATCTCCACATTAATGTATTAATTTAATTGCACTCATGCCACCTCGGAGCCTTATTAAACGTCTGAAAATGTACCTACAAGCCATTTTTGTGTTCTTCTGTTCCACCTCTGTACAAATTATTTTTTTATTAATACTTATTACATATGATTGGTAACTTATTCGTCTTATTCTAATTCTTCTTATATTGTTTTAAATAGAAATGTTAAAAAGCTTATAAAACATACATTTTTGAATTTGACATGAAAACGATAACATTATAAAAGGTAAAAAGAAAATACCCCTGTAAGTCACTTTAAGGAGTGAAATGTCACCTCATATTAGGAAGGATAATTTTATATCAGAATTTTTGATTATTGATCAGAAGGTGCTCCTAAATT